CATCTTTTTCGGCAGCAACAGCATACCTCAAATACAGAATGAAAAAGTGGGCATGTAGGACGTCGGGAATCCGTGAAAGGGCGGAACAACTTTGAACCACATTCATTAGGCTTTACATCACAATATAAACCATGAGACATTCAAACATAGGCACCTGCGTTCACATGCATACAGTACGCGCCTACCCTATGTTGTCGCCTTATCGCGATGAATGTGTTCAAGTTCGAGCGCATAACAACTTGATTTCAATGAGACCTTACGACCTCATTGAGGGCCACAAATGTTGCTCAGCGAAACGAATTCATACAATAATCATAAAGCTTTGACAAAGGATACAGCTTTTTCCCATTGATCAATCCCGTGTCGGGATTAATCAATGGCAAAAAGCTGTACCTGAACTGTGGGCACTCCGAATTAGTGAAAAGAGAAAAAGGAAAGATGAAAAGGCTCTACCGTTCCAAAAATTCCGTCAAGTGCAGGAGATTGAGTGATGAAAATGCCGTAACCACCTTAGCACACGCTCCACTGTGGCTGAAGGGATCTATTGCATATCTTAGGTGAAGAAGAGCCATCGAAATTTTTGTGAATGGCACCTTCAATAAGCTACCACCTCCCATTTCTTTCGCTCATGTCGGAACTTTAGTCTAGATCTGGTTGCTGTGCAAGCTATAGTATTCTATGTTGTCAATAATTCACTTCTCCAGGTCAGCAAGAAAACGCTTTTTTATTGGAATTTCAGGAATACCCTCTGCCAGTAAGCTGAAGAGTCCAAAACACCTACTAAGCAAATGTTCTTTCTCGAGTTTCATGAAAAAACGAATGTATAGTCCATACTATAGTGATTCGCTAGGACAGAAAGCGGCTGCCAGCTCTCCGAAGCGCGAAACTTTTTTTCGCTACGAGGACTCAAGAATCGACTCAGACTTCTTTTGCTGCGGGAACCCCAGCGAATCCTCAGATTAGAGGATTCGCTGGGGTTCCCGCAGCAAAAGAAGTTTCGCGCTGCTAGAAGCGAAAAACTCGCTTACTGTCCTAAGCGACACATCACCACTGGTGTCGGGTCACGTCTTTCGATAGATGGGCGTGCCCGCGCCTGATGGTATCGAAGGAGGGCCAGTACCCAAGGACCCCGAGATAAGGAGTCGGAGTCGTCAGATCGTCACTCACGGTACCTCACCCCGTCTTCCCCTTCTCTCATACCTTATAATAAATATGTATAGCCTATAATGTTCTGTTATAAACCGCTACCACCCTTCAGATAGTGGCTGCGCAACCTATCTCCTACTATAATCGCTAGCGTGTGTCTGTTGGTGTGTGTGTGTGTATGTTTGAACGGAAATTCATAGCTCGCGTCACCGTAATGATAGCGCAGTGTTTCTTACATATGTTATAGGGTGGGATGGGACACAAGTGGTACGTGATAGGACTGATAACGACTGATAGTAGCTGATATAGGGAGGCTAAAAAGCCGACATCGCCAATTTCGTTTTTGCCCGTTCATATTGGTAAAAAGAGCGTCTATACGAACAAGTGTTATGTGGGGCGGTCCCGGGACATTGGTGGTACATGATTGAAGGATAGCAACTGATAATGGCTGATAAATGCGCTAGAACGGAAGCCGCTCGATGGTACCCGGCTCCGCGTTGACAATAGACCGAGAGCAACCATATTTACAAGTGTTGTGTGGGGTGGGACGGGGACATTGTTGCTGGGTGCCAGAAATTGATAACGACTGATAATGGCTGATAAGGTGCGCCAGAACGCTGAAGTCGTCGATTACGTTGCCTGGCTCGCGTTGACACCAGAGCAACCATATTTACAAGTGTTGTGTGGGGTGGGACGGGGACATTGTTGGTGGGTGCCAGAAATTGACAACGACTGATAAGGGCCGATAAGGTGCGCCAGAACGCTGAAGTCGTCGATTACGTTGCCTGGCTCGCGTTGACACCAGAGCAACCATATTTACAAGTGTTGTGTGGGGTGGGACGGGGACATTGTTGGTGGATGCCAGAAATTGATAACGATTGATAAGGGCCGATAAGGCGCGCCAGAATACCGCAGTTGTCGATCCCGTTACGCAGCGTTGACATTGGAGCGTTCCTTCCTACAAATTGTATGCTTTATTGATAGGATTCGACTGCATAAATCTAAACTTCAGCAAATGATAAGCTTCATTTCTGATGCACTATCAAGAAAACCCAAATTCATTAAACCGCCATTCCATTCGGGCTTCTAAATAATGGTGAATGTAAATGGATAATAAGCATCGGCTCCTCACTTATGTAAAGAGGCATATTTCAATTTCATTTTGAGACTGACGACAGGAAAATCCTATTCACCGCTTAATTATCTTATTTCAAGAAAAGTGCTGGATGTTTCCAGAGTTGCGATCAATATACCAGTTCAGCTCCAGACGTTATCACGCGTATTATCGATGAGCTTCAGTGAAACTGTGGAGGGTCTAACATAGTCAATAGTGAGATCGTTAATGGAGTATCTCATGCCGATATTCCATGGGTCCTCCAGTTTCGCAAAAGCCTGCCGGGCTATGCGCGCGATAGCGGGCGAAGCAAAATAATCTGATATGGAGGTCCCGGGAAGATAGTAAAAAAAACGAATGTAATTTTTTTCATATGATTAAAAAAATCATGAGGGCCTATTGTTTTGAAACACCCCCCCCCCTATACCCATCACCCCTCTTCGCCTGATAAGTCGACTGATCAGAAGAAGACCCCTGGAAACCAATATTCAATCAACCAACATTCAAGGAACAATCAACTGAATACAGGTATTCTTATCAATTGATATTCTTTTCTAAATACATATATTATAAAAAACAGATTGTTCAAATCTGGAAAAAAATGTGAAGAAAAAGGACGCTTTTTCTCTCTTTTCTTTGAGTTGAGTTACAGTGCGCAAAAAGCACTCTTTGATTTTCAATGTATTTGACAACTGCATAAGCTGCATTGTCAGTGATAATACAGATTAAAGTCCTAGCGACGGCGAATGTTCCGTTTTATGCTTTGAAAGGACTCGTTGGCCAAATGAGAACTAGCTACTCTCACTTTTTTCGCTACTCACCTAATGTCTTATGATGCTCCGAGCGAACCTGCATTGTAGTTGTTTAGCGTGCAGCCGCAAAACATGTATTGGAAAACTATTATCCAAAACCAATTGCGTGACTACACAGGCCTTGCCTTCATATCTCTTGTGGCCTTGCGAAGCGCATATTCGCTCTAACGGTCATGTGAATAGATAGCGTAAGTGTCCTGGCACCATCCCAAAACATCTGCTGCTCGCGTTGCGACGATGATATCTTTGACCTGTAGAGATAGCAAACACAGTACGCCGCTGTTCAAGTGGGTATTTGTGCTTTTATTACGCAACATAATACGCCGCTGTTCAAGTGGGTATTTGCGTCTTTTTTACGCAACGCTGCTTATCTGGGCCAGCGACGTTGTTTGTTACATCGCGATGATATGATGCATCTTGCACAAACATTACAGTATGTTTAGTGTAAGACTTCTAGAACGTTTACACGATAAGGATAAGGTATCTCAAATGAGAAGTAATGCCCCCTCAGAAAAATTTCCATCAAAAGGGAAGCTTAATACATGAAGAAGGTCTGACCCCACTCACTGAGATTGCATAAACTACTTCTTCCATCGAGACACTCGCCGCTAAAAGTACACCGGAAAAAACTCAGGACGAGTTCTCCGGACGAGTTTTTCGCGCTATTACGGTTTGAATTTCAGGTTACTGTATTGTTCGTCGCGGGACCAACGGCTTTAGCCCTCCATTGTCGATCGATGACGGCTTTTTTTTCGTTGACAAAGGATTATTCAACTGTGAGCGATGCTATTCTACTCTGGATTCCTGCTGTTCTGCTGTATTCGGGTTCTGTACTACGCTGCTGTATTCACTGCTACTGTATTCTTCAGATCTGCTCTGTTTAAACACCATTATCTTCGTCTCCCCTCAATAAGATTTTCCCCAAGTTCGCCCCTACCTCAGAATTCCTCTATTTTGCCTACATATTCACTTCTTTATTACTGCGGCTACTACTAATCACAGTGACACTGATCTTCTGCACTGCTAACCAACGTGAGTTTATATTTTTTGTGCAATAACTTCGGTCGCCCTTTTAGATTTGCTCTCCTTTGACACCCTTGACAGATTTTCCGTTTCTCTCCTCACTTCGACATCTATTTTGGTTTTCTCCTTTTTACATCAAATTGCCAGTGTAGGATTGAAAAATGGGTGGAACACTTATGATTCCAACCCTTTTCATTTTTGCGGCTGGCTGAAGAAGGAATCATTTTAGTCTTTTCGTCGTTCTAAGTTTCTGAGAAACATTTTTAACTAGCATCATCCAGCCCCGCGCCATTACTTCTGGCTAATATTTATACATTTTGCTAAACTTTCAATCTTTCAGCGGCGTAGTTCGACTTTCATCTTCCTTTACTCCAATTGTTTTCATTGACCTAAAAACTTCTCTACTCTATCTACTCATCTATCTCGCCATGAGCCAAAACTATATTAGCCATGTGCTATACCCGTTAGTGCTGATTAGAATGTACTGCCAGTCCAGGTTGATGCCACGATTGATCTGAAGTCGGGAATCAGCCGTGATTTGCAGGTATGGCCTAAGAGGGAGTTTGGTCTCTCCTTGAGTTGCATAATGGACTGAACGAGGCATCGGTTTTGAGGTTTTAAAAACATGCAACAGTTAAAATATACGCCATAGAAAATTAGTTCCACTTACAATTTCGCAACCCACACCTTTCTACCCACCGTAGAACAGTCCAAGTGGGACCTATGCTTTACCTTTGCCACATGAATTACCAGTGCTGACAGCCAGCTTTTACGAAATAGCTACGCTTCTTCTCCAAATATTTTTCCAATTAAATTTTGCACCAATCAAGAATTCATTTCTGTGTAGCTTTGTACTGTTGTTAGTTTTTACGGTTAATCGAGAATACTTTAACACATTTGAGGAAATGGATCCCACACATTCCGAGTGCCCTGTCTGTCATAAAGGAATAGCCAAGCGCAACCTTGTTTCTCACATGAAAGATATACACGATATTTCTCCGACGACAGCTAAAGGAATGTTAGCGCAGAGGGAAAAGACTGAATTGGAGTCCCAAGGGAAGCAGGTGGAAATCTGCGAAGTTTGCGGAAGTGTTTTCACTACCAAAAGGGGGTTGAGGGTACACGCCAGGTCCAAACACCCCGACCAAGCTGACGTTGAAGAGGCTGCGGAAGAGGAGGTCCACACCACGGCGGTTCAGTGCTGCCTTTGCGAACAAAATTTCAATATACAGGAGAAACTCAGTGAACACTGTGGGCTAGAACATTCTGAAGAAGGAGCTCTTGGAAGAATGCAAGACAATACAGTAAACAAACTTTCTTTCCCGAATCCGGAGGAATACAAGGTTAGTAATGGCACTTATAGCGAACTCTTGAGCAAAAAAATTCTTAAGGAATGGTTGGATAGAATGTGTGACCTTCACTGCACGTCATTCTACTGCAGGTCAACCAAGGAAGGCAGAAAGAAATAAATTATACGGTCTGAGCATACCTGCAAATCACGGCTGATTCCCGACTTCAGATCAATCGTGACATCAACCTAGACTGGCAGTACATGCTAATCAGCACTAGCGGGTACAGCACATGGATATAGTTTTGGCTCATGGCGGATAGCTGAGTAGATAGAGTAGAGAAGTTTTCTAGGTCAATGAAAACAATTGGAGTAAAGGAAGATGAAAGTCGAACTACGCCGTGAAAGATTGAAAGTTTAGCAAAATGTATAAATATTAGCCCAGAAGTAATGGCGCGGGGCTGGATGATTGCTAGTTAAAAATGTTTCTGAGAAACTAGAACGACGAAAAGACTAGAAATGATTCCTTCTTCAGCCAGCGCAAAAATGAAAAGGGTTGGAATCATAATCGTTCCACCCATTTTCAATCCTACACTGGCAATTTGATGTAAACAAGGAGAAAACCAAAATAGATGTCGAAGTGAGGAGAGAAACGGAAAATCTGTCAAGGGTGTCAAAGGAGAGCAAATCTAAAAAGGCGACCGAAGTTATTGCACAAAAAAATATAAACTCACGTTGGTTAGCAGCTGCAGAAGATCAGTGTCACTGTGATTAGTAGTTGCCGCAGTAATAAAGAAGTGAATATGTAGGCAAAATAGAGGAATTCGGAGGTAGGGGCGAACTTGGGGAAAATCTTATTGAGGGGAGACGAAGATAATGGTGTTAAAACAGAGCAGATCTGAAGAATACAGTAGCAGTGAATACAGCAGCGTAGTACAAAACCCGAATACAGCAGAACAGCAGGAATCCAGAGTAGAATAGCATCGCTCACAGTTGAATAATCCTTTGTCAACGAAAAAAAGCCGTAATCACATACATACGCGAGCTTAATCAAATTTTATAGGCACATTTTTCTCGCACGGATGTTCCAACTGATTACCGTACGGATATGAGAAGCGTACTCGACCAGTGTGTGCGCATATTACAGGTACATTTCAATTAGGAGTTATTTTTAGGTTTGTTTGCTATTTGCCTGCACTGCGGGTTTGGCTGACTTTTTTCGTTTTTTTTCGTCAAAATCATTTTTATCCTTTTCAAGGCTATGCGCGATGTCTGTCAGTTGAATGGCTGGCTATCAACAGCACTACGAATAACAATACTTCAACAGATGTGTCACACAGGACGATGGCATGACGATCATCCTTTGTTGTGCTTGCCACACTTGAAGATCCACGACGCGGAGAGAATTGTGTACCATTTTTCACTGAATCTTCCAATGATCCGTCTTCTCTGTGCTCTATTTTCTGTATCTCAGCATGGGCATAAAACATGGTTAAGCGCGTCTTCCGGAGTAAGAGTCGAAGGGTAAGGTGGGTCTTATTGGTTAAGTCAGAGGACTGGGATCGTATTTAGCAAAATTATTTATTTTATGGTTTTTGATTGGTTGCTAAAAGGGGTTTAACTTCGTAGTTGCTTTGAGAATGTTTCCCAAAAATGCCGAGTTATTAGCGAAACTTGCCACCTTCCTCCCTGAACCCACACCCCTGGCTTTCCGGGCTGTAGTGCTCTCGATTACATCACGAGGGCACCTTTTCACTTCTACTCGGCTTATTTTTGCTAATCACCATAGCTTATCAACACTCACACGTCTGAAGTGATAACCAGGTAGTCGATATCGGCAGTGAACCGCAAGCCTGAAAGCTCGAGCAGATATAACGGTTATTGCTGGTTTTGGTTTGTTAATTAATTGTCTGTTTTAACGCCGCAAATCGCGCTGCGATTGTTCTACAAAAATGCTAACTATGTTTACCTTTTGCACATAAGTCTGCATTATTATGAAATCGGTAATGTTACGAAGTGTTACAGCACAAATGTTTTTTATTGAGTATTCAGTTTTCATTTTTTGAAAAATTTACGAACTTTGAAGACAGTTTCTGAAATTTGAAATTTTCCTACGGCGCTTCTCAGTGCATTACATAACCCGAAGCAGAAGGTAAGCAATCTCTAAGGGGCTCCCAGCATACGTGGCGTGAGCGAACACTCACACTCAATAGGCGAAGCGTGATCTGTCACAAGCTCTCATATTCTGTTCCAAAAAGTTTCGGAGGGCGAGAAAAGGTATAGGTCAAAGGAGGGGAGGTCCAATGTTGGTGGTGAACATGGCGTGCAACAAAGTGGGCGGGGTTCGCTACCAAACTTGTGAAGACAGTCCAGTGACGGAAAAAGTAGGTAGAGGTTTGCGAGGAAGAAAGGACCGATTGCTTTGGTGGGCGAGGCGTGCGCTAAGTTAGGCGGAGTTACTACAAAACTCATAAATTGGTTTGCAGACAGTCTAGGGCCTGGAAAAAATGTTGGCCGAGATAACAAGGTGAACTGCTATCGGTGGGCAGAGCGTGGATCAGAGGCTAACCTCATATGCTGTCCAGAGATCGTGAAAAAGCGGGAAATGGTTGACGAAGGAAGGAGGCTAAAAGCCGTTGAAGACGTGTACTGAACTGGGCGAAAGTTGCCAGTGGGTGTCATTATTTATTTCCAACACGCCTTCTAATAGAGGAAAGAAGTGAATAGAAGCTAGCAACTGAGGGAAATGAAATGCTATCAGTGCATCGAACTGGGCGGTGCGAGAGCCCACCTTGAACCAGAACCAGCTTTACTGTGCACGCCTAGTAGTGGCGCCAGTGAAGTTGTCCAACCTGTGAATCAAACCATTAGCTGAGACATTTCACAATCGTCTTACTATCGGGTACGTGAACCGTATGACCTACTTTCCGCAGGTTGCTCAGTTTCACTAACACCACCACTCATTGTACGTGGTAGCGTGCGGAGCTGAACTATAGAAATACGGGCGTTCTTGTTTCAATGTGTGGATGAGTATAATGCCACTGTCGCACGATTCGCCAAGTCTGACACCGGCCTGAGCCATAGACAGCGCGATGTAGTGAGCACCAATTCGAGAGAACAGCAGGCGAGAAGAAGGGGGCACGTCGGGGAATGGTTCGATAGATAAATGATCACAATAGCAGGTGGACGACCATTAACTGAGCGGTTCGACTGAGTTGAGGCATAATGACGTGGTTCAGAGATTTTCTGCCACGACGACGTCTCGTGCCATAGTCTACAGCCGCTGTCCTTTTTCGCGACACTACACTCGCTTGGTCGTAGGGCGTACTTTCTAAAAATATCTCTTGTTTCTGTCGTGCCTCTAATCCTTTTTATTACTTCGTTTGTTAGAAGTTCTTTCAAAGGCGCTCGCATTGCCAGTGTTCCATAAGAATACTTTGTTATGAAAAAAACTTGCCCGGGCGAGAATCGAAACCGCTTCTCTCGCATATGTGCGCTACAAGCTGTGCTACCTCGGAACCGTTTTGCCCTATCCCAGCTCAATAAGCAACGGTAAACATACCTTGAAAAGCTGAGTTAGAGCGAAATGGTGTCCTGGTAGCGTTGCCCAGTGAGCGAGAGGTGCGGGTTTGAGTCCGGCCTAGGGCGCAGGATTTGCTCATGACCTAGTATTCATGTGCAACCCTTCCCTTGCCTCATCTCACGTTCTCAAAAGTGCTGCAGAGGAGATAAATTGCAGGTCCCGGTTTTGTCATGCTTTCATCGAGTCACCCTGTCAAATTTCTATTGTTCATGTGGTACTCCTTTCGTAAAATTGTTCTGTATACCGAACTTCGAACGGATATTTTAAAGGGACCGTTCCACCATACCACTCTTACAACATCAGTTTGGTGTGGAAAATGCACAAGGAACAGATGATGTAGAAAAACGGGCTAAGAATACACTGTTTGAAAACACAACGTTGGAGGAAACGGAGATCAAGGAGGTTTGTAATTACATTACTCATGGTCATCACTGCAGGTTGGCCTTATAATATGCGTAGCTGACTTTCATAACTTTCAAAAAGTAAAATAAATACCTTTCGATTGATATTTTTTCTATGTTGCCTTTTGTGACACATCTTTTCTCACTCGGAATAAATGCACAAATTATGCGACAATTCCAAAGCCGCTGGGACATCACTGGGTGTTTCGTTTGCTATAAGTTGACCCTTTTCGCACTTTGGACGCTTCCTCTTTCAAATTTGATATTTAATTTTCATAAGAAAATTGTAGAACAAGTTGGATTTGTTTCTCGATTTTTGCAGGTTGTTCGAGCTCTATGTCGATGGCCCATCCTTACCATAAGTGGACTCCGTTTGTCAAGAAATGCGAAAGAGCTTCGAATCGATGATGAGGACAGGTTGCAGTTAGAGCGCAATACCTCTTATAAGTTGCAGTTTCACATAGATATGCTTGGACCAGGTCGGGTTAGTGATGCTACTCATATTCTCTTTAATACTGACAATGAGAAACTTTCAAAATTTCCGATCGCATAAGGCACGACTATGCCTCAACTTTATCCAAATAAAATTATTTACATCTTGACGGAATCGCGTGCTTGGACACGGTGGCCTCATGAGGAAGGAGCGATTCAGAGTACACTGATCTCGAATGACGAATTCACGATTAAAATGGAGGTCGAAGAAGGAGTAATTCACCTAGTTGTGGGACACGCGGACCTCCTAAGGGTGCGGACTGAAGCGCAATTGGCACGGCACCGGAGAAGTGGACCTCGGCCACTAATTAAGGCGCAATCTTGGCACGGTGGGCCAGTGCACGCCCACCCATCATCTGATCACTCGCCGCAAGTCTATACGTGGCGAGTGATTAGATAGGTGAGAGAGCGTAGTGCTGAGGCACTTTGCACATGGCGCACATCATAAAAATTTTCGTCGCATAGAGTGCCGCTGTTGGTAGAGGTTTTACTGCGAAATATACCTTAGATGCCCTCCCATCTCCCCGGCCCTCCTCCACTGCCCTCAGCGTCCTAATCATATGACGTCATCTTCCACCACCGCTTGGCTCAAGAAGGACTACCGCAATCGCTCCAGCCTGATCCTGCTGCGATTTTTCTTTAGTCGAATCACTGATAGTTCTAGGGAGAGTAGCTCTGAATATGCGAAACCCCTTCCGGCCAGCCTATCACATCTCGTCGCAACGGTTCGTGATCGGTCGAGGACCATGTTGAGCACGAATCGTGCCCAAGGTTCTCATGGCAAATCCTTGGGATATCGCCATTAGTGCAGAAAGCCGTCATATCTTTCAATGATGAATTGAGATGTGTTCGTAAAAATATCAAGTTGGGAGCAGTCGACTTAAGTTTACAATACGGGAGGTGAGTGTCTCTTTTTTGGCCATATCTGTAACTTGTAGCGTACCGCAGATTTGCCTGTAACTGAATACCACGGTGCGGTGCAAAATCATAGGACACTCCCCAAAAACATGAATATCTCGGCTTCTAAGAATCGTCATTCATCGGTGTTACTAGTCAAAAAGGTAGTATTTTACGCGAAATCTGTAGAAGAGAAGAAAGCAGCTCGTTTTCTGCGCCTTTCCTGCCCTCTAGTAAACTCATTCCAGTAGAGAAAAACTTCAGATCTCGGACTCAGGATGAGGTTACGCATCGACTCATCTTTAGGAAACTACTACTAAAATTTCCTCGAGGGAATATCGTCGAAACCTGGCCTGAATTTCTCCACTAGTGAACAACGTCATCTGAATACAATGTTAAACTGCTTGTTACCAAGAAAAAGCGCTCTGAAAAGAACAATATACTCATAATCTTCAATTAAAATTTGCTCAACAAAGCCCAGCCTTGGCCCAGTCTTTTGTTTGAATTTCTCTTTCCTGGTTTCAGTCAGAACGCCTAACAGATATGACAGTACGCTTCGCAGGACCTTACGCGTTGCGATATTAAAGATTTTACCGGATGGTTTCGGTTTTATCCGCCTTCTGTCGTAGAGCTGAATCAAGCCGAGCGTGCATGGTGATTTTACTCGATATTTTATTTTATTTTATTTTATTTTTTATTTGTTTTTTATTTATTTTTATTTTTATTTTTTTATTTTTATTTTTATTTTTATTTTTATTTTATTTATTATTTTATTTTATTTTATTTTATTTTACTTATTTTATTTATTTTATTTTACTTTATTTTATTCTTCTAGGTTATGCGCCTTTTGAGAAGGTTCTGTTATTTATCCTGATGTTCTCTTATTTCTATTTATAGTAAGAATTTCGAGTACCAAATTACGGTTATCTTGAGCTCCGAAAAGTGGCTTCGATGCTCGTGTAGAGCCATCAGGCGCGTGTAAAAGCAACATCTTGCTTTCACTCGCGCAGGAAAGAGCAGTTCAGACCGTAGTTCTGGTCAAGTTGCCATACACCAAATAAGTGCACTATCGTTTCTGGTTTGATTAAAAAAATCCAACAGCAAGGAGAATTCTGAGGGGTGCCCCATGATTTTGCACCGGCTTCAAAATTTAAAAAAATGTCTAAAAATGTAGAAAATTGATCGATCAACCTGATAACTTGTGGGTGTAGGTTTTTTATTAGGGTTCTGATTTTACAAGTTGCGATTAACGACGTTGTATATAGGCTGAGATATTCGTATTTTTTGGGTGTGTCCTATGATTTTGCGCCGCACTGTAGTGGAAATCTAGGATTATGAATTGCTATTTACCCGATTTCTGTCTGAAATGTTGCATAGGTGTCCGTGCGATGTGCAGAAAGTTGCTACCATGCTGAATTCGTGTATTCATCTTTCTAATTTTTACCGGTGAAAGTTCGCATATAGGTACAATGAAACATAAAGCCGAAGCTGTCTTTGGAGTTGTTCCTGCAGTGCCACTGAAAAGCTTTTGTAAATATTTCATCGAGAGCTTATCTACACGTAGAAACTCTATCTGAATGGGGCTTCAGTGATACCTAGTGCACGAAATTTATGTTATTAATGACAATGGAATAATGCTCGATTCTGCCCTTTTTTAAAACTCGAATTCAAAAGTCAGCGCAAAAGTTCTGAAACACCCGTTCTGCATTCCACCACCACTTCATACACACGCTGACTTGATCAACGATACATTCATTATCATTCCCTCTGAAATGGTCCAACGAATAGGCACAAAACCCGTTCCACCAGAAAAAAAGGGCTGTGAATCAGCCGTGATGATTTCAGGTAAATGCAGTTTGCGATTTCATTGCGTGAGTATTGGTGCTGTGCTTCAGCAAGAGCATAGTCAAGAGAGCTGAAGTCAGTAGAGTTAGACAGAGCAGTATCCCATCTGAACCCAGGAGTAAATGTCTTCGCGACGTGACGAAGGATGCCATCACCAGAAATATGAGCAGAACCTCTTTTCTGTGGCATTTTTGGACGCAGGTAAACTGTTGGAGCTGCGCGCTGTAGCCGCCGCTTTGCAGCGAAATGGCTGGTCTTACCGTAGCAAAAGTATTACTTCTAAACCCTAGAAGCAGTACCAGTTAGCCTTTCTCCACCTCGTTCCTGCCTCGGGATACGCAGCGTCTTCGTAGAAACCAATACTCAATCTCCGTCACCAGATCTTCCGAGAAATCCTCTGAATGGAGACGAGACGGGTCGGCTGGCGCATCACATTAGGTAGTTGAGACATACTAGCGTTGACGAAATCCTTTCTGAATGTGATGCTCATGCTGAAAGCAGTTTAGCGTTTGCTAGATCGGTGGTGCCACTTGTGGGAGACGAAGGTGTGAAGTCGGTTCTCTAGCGACTATGACATAGTCACCGGAAATTGCTCGGTGACCCATTCATCCGTTTCGGGTGATAAATGTAGCTGTAGATCAGGTGATGAAAAGGTGCAGCATCAATGTTTGCATTCAAGTGGAGATCAAATCAAATCAAATCAAATCTGTTCCGGGTGTTTTCCGTAATACCCTAATATTTCAAAACGCCATAAACTCCACCTTTCACTAACAATAAGGTCATGAAGATACTTGGGCTTGATGTAGTTTTTACGAACAAGTTCACGTTCGACACAATGTCTTTGTTCCATCTCTACATGGACTATATAATCTGCATAAATTGGTTTTGGTCATTTTTGGCTCAAATAATCATTTCTTGGCGAGAAATTGATGGAAGTTAAATGCAAGTATTTCCATTACATTCTACAATGTTTTCAACGTCGTCCTGGCAAACTGGCGACACGACCACGACATACACTATAGTTTCGAAGCAAACACTCATCGACATTCTGCACTTATTCGACTTCCAAAAATCATGTAGCGGTGCCTTCCTTTCCTTCCCTCTAAGTAAGTGGCATTCAGAAGAAGCCACGTTCGGTGGCATTGCTGGGTGTGGAAAGATTTCCCATCCGATCGGCCAAGAGCGTTTCCTTTAAAGATTCTGCAAATTTGACAAGCTCTAAGCCAACTGCCGGAGTGGGCGTGTGGAGCTGGCAGCAATTTCTCTCTTCATTCTCTTTTCCACGGCGAAAGTTGAGTTTCGGAAAGACACTTCAACAAATTATGATATGCCTTCGAGCTCCTCAAGCATTATAGTGTAAGCTGAAACAAACATTTACAGCCGTGGTATGATAGCCTGATCATCATAAGCTTCCACAAAAGTTTGATATGTGGTTCTCAGCAGCTGATTTTTGAAATCAAACACCAGAAGAGATGAATGTCAAAAAGCGCAGCATCGACCGTCCCTTGTGCTGAATAAACCACTAAAAATGGCGTCAAAGTACTTCGTGACGTCGAATTTACTAGAACTACCATACACGATAGACTTTACTACCGGTTACATTCGCCAAACTTGCATTAATTATTGGTATAATTGGTTAAAGTAACTGCCCAAAATTAAGTTCACTTCGTCATCCATACGGAGTCAAATATGCTTTTTCAGACGATGGGCGAGGAGGGAGATTGAATATGTCAGTCCACCTTAATTAATCCTGTGGACTGTAAAACTACTAGTGGAACTACTAGGAGTTGCGCCGCTTCCTAAACTGGTCTAAATAACCCGAAAGTCTGAACCGGATAAGAACCGAGAACATCTAGGTTTATGACTACCACAGAACGAGAATTAGAGGTGCAGCCGCGTTAAATGAAGCCGTTCTCGCTGCCGCATTTGTTGAAGGTCATAGCATTTCTTCCTCTCAATATCAGGACATTTATAGAAAAAAAATCTAATGTGTAACTCGGCTCAAGAACAGGAACCAACCACCTAGTGGCCATTAACGATTGATGGGCTTAAGTGTGAAGAAATTTCCATGAAAGTTTAAATATCACAAAATCGAATCAACCAACCTCAACCGGTGTTGTCACGACCAGTTGCGTCCTCCATTTGATGACTTAGTGAAAATCAGACGGTGTTCAAGGCTGAATGGATGAGGACGACAGAGCCGGGCCGCACCATACCCTAGTCGAGATTCAGCTGTCGAGCTGCGCCGAAGTTTCACGACCGCACGTCTGTCCAACACAAATTAGGGTCCTCTCCGATGTCATCTTCAGAGTCATTAATCAGAATGCCAAAGAGCTTATCCAAGGAAACTATCTTTGAAACTATGGAACCATCGGTGCTAATGTACTATCACAAACCTCACGAGGGGTGAGATGGGTCAGAAAAAAAATTTCGCAGAAAATTCTCAAATGAGGGTTATCGAGCGTCCTGATCACCAATGACATCCATTTCTGGCGCTTGTGCTAAATTGGCTCCATTTAGCGCCAGGCAGCACCATGACTGATTCTAACCAAACTCGCTGTTAGTTTGTATACTATGGGTTATTTGGGTGGAGTTGGGGGGGACCACACGGCGGCGCTGCACTCTACTAGCCTGGCGTGTGTGCGTACTTCGGGCCGTGAGCCAGGGGTGTAGGCAGTTTAGAGCAGGTGGGGGGGGGGGGATTTCTTCCTCAATGGTCCTACCTCGACGGCTCGAGCAGAGACGATTAGAGAACGAGCGAATGCCCTAGAACTAAGCCTTGGAGAAGAGAGGGACCTGAGAGAGCGCAGAGGCGGTTTAAGGGGCTGAGTTCAAGTAGTCCGTCGACAGAGGGGGGAGGGGGGTGAGAACAGTTACTTGATATGCGTAAAAAGCTGGAATGTTTGAGTTTACACTATCTCGCTCGAGAGAGCGCCAGGCGAGTAGAGTGCCGCGATCCCCTCAACCTGCATACTCAGCAACATTTTTTGGCCCTGCTTACGGATATGACATTCGTTTTTGTCTTTGGCGCTTTCGGCGGTCATCTCCTGCTTGTCGCACCCTCTCACTAAATAGATTGCAAACAGGACAAAGGCTTTGGGGAGTGGAGGGCTCCAAAGGGAGAGAGCCACTTACTCTGTGATCTCACACACTCTCTTGCCACACGGTGCGTGGTTTACCCTCTCCGGAGTCTCACCTCTCTCCCTAAGCTTCTAAGTTTATTCTTAGGTCATCAAATTGAGAGGGCAGGAGAGCAGAAAATATACGTTGAAGCGCGAACACCAAAAACGATGTCGTATCCTTGATCAGGACACCAAATAACCCCTATGTAGAAATTCAAACCAAATTTTGTGAAAAAAACTGTCCTACAATGTGGACCAACTATGACAGCGCCTTCAAGCGCTGGCCCTTCCTTCTGAAATTATTAACATTTCCCAACTAGTACAACATTAGACTCTTCGTGCAGTCATGTTCTTCCCATCCTTCTTTTTGAAAAAACCGCCTGTCGGGTTCTAAGGTAGATATTTTGGTGGGACATCGTGCTGTGCTGGAACTCCAACTCTAACGCGCTCATTGAACGTATAAAGCAATAAACCATTACCATTACACCAGCCTAACGATCACCAACAAAACTACACATGTACATTCTCGTCACGGAAAATCCAATCCAAACCTAGCTGCGGTGCTAATGAGCAATTATTAGTAAAATGCTCCTTTTTGAACAAACAACACGTTATAATATGAGGTCATTAAATGGGATCTCCATCCCATTCCCACAGTAATGATTATTTTCTTGATAGGAACGATAAGGCCGCATTCATAGTTTGCGACTCGGAATATTAGGATAGTACGCGACAATGAAAAACATATGTATTGACGGGAAGATTAGGATAGTAGTAGATTAGGATAGTAGCAGAGCAGGAGATTGCGCTGACAAGATTAGTATCAGGGTCAACCCTACGTTGTTACGAGTAACAACGGGGGGGGGGTCGTACTCAGTTGAGCTTGGAGGGGGGTCGTACCCTCTCGGTGGCCGACAGTGGGATTCTTGGTAATATCGGATAACAGCCAGTACGTTACGTCTTCGTAAGATGACTGGTACTAAAGCATCTATAAACAACGCTTCCCTCCAAATGAGCTTTCGAATGAATTAGCGAATTAGAAGGGCGCCCGAGGCGTGGCGCGCACCAAGGCAAGGGATGTAGTGCAAGCGCATGCTAGAACCTTTCTAGCACATCCTAAATTAAGCACAAAATTGATCTTCCAAGAAGTTTCGGGCAGCGAAATC